TGATGATTATTGACGAAGAGGATGACGATGACGAGGATGACGATATAAAGATATTTTCTTCGTCTACACAATCAGTTGGATGAATTAAGTTAAGTTTGGAAATCTTGTCTGTTATCGTTATTTCTTCCATAATGTCGATCTAGTAATTACATGTACCATAAAAGAAGTTTTATTGCTTCAAAGTGATTAGAATATGCTGTCGTGCAGTTGTAAATATGCACGTACGACAGTAAATAAACAATGCATGTGATTATTTGCAATGCATCACAGGATTATTGCATAGAATACGAGAATTTTACATTACGTACTACGTACATGTACCAGTACATGTATATTTCAATCAATTAACGTTACAATATTGTAAATAAATTAACTTGTCTCGAAAGTTTGATCCCTGTTTTAATTTAATAGCTAAGATACAATAACTCGCAAAAGTATCCAACCACCTCTAACTTTCCATATATCGTGTATAACACCCGAAGATTTTCCGTTCACAACTGATCATCTATGTCTTTTATAGGGATGCGCTAAAGCGTTGTGAACACGTGACCTATGTTTATTACAATTAAAGATGGATTTTACCATTAGGATAAGGGTTATAGTTAGGTTAGGGGAGAAAGTTATATGTAAAATTGCCTCCCTGACATTTTTCGTTCGTGCTTCGGGTTTAATTTCATAATTTCTAACATAATTTGAACATGATTATCATTACTATACTTATATGAAATTGACCAATGAAATTAAAGAATAGAAATTGATCAGCCAATAGGATACGCTAATTTCAGTTTCAGCATCAGCCGTTAAAATTATGGTGCATAAAATCTAACGTATGGATTTTGTAAACTGTATAAACTTCTTTACTAACAAGTAAATTCAAAATTTAATCCGTAAATATGCTCAGAAAGGACCTATTCTATCATATTCACGGATTAAATTTTGTATTTACTTCTTAGTAAAAAAGTTTATACAGCTTACAAAATACAAACGTTTGATGACTTTAGATTTATGCACCATATTAATATTTATTCTATTATTGTTATATAATTTTAACACCAAATTAACACATAAAAAATTATTAACTTTTTGATATTTGTAATATTAATTCTATTATTATATAATTTTATATTACACATAAAAATTAACTTTTTATTTTTAACTTTTCGATATTTGTAATGTTTAACATCTTCCTAACATTTTGTTTAACATTAATTTGTTATTTTAATTTATCTTTGTGTAGTTTAACACTGATTTAATATTTGTAGTAATTTCAAACATGTAATTAGTGTAGTTTTAAATTTTGTATAAAGAAAAAGCTTTTTCAATCGAAAAAGCTAATGCTTAATCAGTAAAATGCAAACTTGTAAATTAACAAATCTTTTCACTTGATTAACTTCAAATTTTGCATACAAGCAATAAAGATCTTTACTTTAAATAAGACATAGTAGAAGATCTATTTTAAATAAGCCATATCTTGATTTTTTATTGAATTATTTATCTGTATTTGAATTATATTTTTGTAATAATATTTTGATTTTAGTTTTGTTTAAGTTATTTTTTGTTATATTTTGTTAAATCTCTCATCTTTATTTGTGTCAATCACAATTTTTGCAAAAATTTGCACAGAAGATCTTTAGAACCTTTAAGAAACTCTTTATTTGCAAATCATTCAGTCTTTGTTCAACACTTATGTTGTGCACTATTTCTCTAATTACAATATTTAAAGTGTAGATTCAACAGTATGTTCACCAAACTTCCACAACACAGTCATTCCATAACATGTATCTCAATATATAATAATCTTATTCTCAACGTCCAGTGATCCGATTCGAATAAAGGTACTATATATATATATACTATTTGACTCGTCTCGACTAGACGAATCGAATGGTAGTATTTTTATTCGACTTGGATCACAGAACATCGATATATTACGTCCTAAATTGACCGATTTATTGTATTTGGGGCGTGAAAGCTCTACCAATCTACGTATAAAATCTTCGGGTGTTATATATGATATATGGAAAGTTAGAGTTGGATACGCTACTTTTGCGGGTTGCTGTATAAAATATTCTGTATACATATAAAGCACAAAAAATATTGACTGTTATTTTTTTAATTAAATTTGCGTTATTTCGATATTCCAATTATTATCCACAGAAATTCGTCAAGAATCTAGGCAGAGGATTAAATTTTTGCCAAGAAATTGTGCCGATTCTCCTCTTACTCATGAAGCCACTCGTATGACCATTACGAAAATATTATGTTGAAATTTCTCGAAAAAAACATGGAGGCATTTACGTTCTAACAAAATTAGTCGACCACAGACTCTACGACAATCAACGTTAGTTACGTTTAACCAATATGTGTAAACTATGCAGCGGTGCATGGTTAAGCAAGACTTGTATGATCCGACTAAAAACATTGGATAAACGCAAAGCATTAGTGATTTCCTTGTGCAGACTTTTATCAACTGAATCGATTTCTTTACGTTCTTTGAAGACTAATTTTGAAATTGACCAGGAATTCTGGAGTTTGATCGTTAAAGAATGTTTAGCCAAAAATTATTCGGAATTTTGAGGAACTAAATATCTACGAAATTTCATTACTAAATGTTCTTTGAAAATCCGAACCAATACTGCCATTCGATTCAAGGAATACATTTGACAGTTACATGTGTAATAATCCGCAGCTGTAGAACTGAAGCATTGCGTCACATTATGAAAGCACAAAATGGATCAAACTATATTATTTATTGAGCATCGCGACCAAATTTACTTGTAGCGCTCTTTCTAAAAATTTGCAATTTTGGTTGTTTTAGTGCTGATGATATAATTTTAGGCTTAACGTTAAGCTGGTGGGGTATTCATAATTTGTAATAACATAAAATCATGGAATTACGAAATTTTTGTTGAGAATGGTAATAATATGCCGTTATTTACTACACCAAATGTCGATATTAATAGTCATTTTATAAATTGATTTTCCACCAAAATTATCATATGTTCAGAACATATCGATATCGATATTACATAGTTTAGTATTTTTCAAATCCGAAGCGTTTCACCCAGTGAACTTTCACCCTATAACCTTTTGTAACTCAATTTTGTGTTGCCCGAAACACTAACATAGTTACATGTATAAATTTTTGAATATCAATTTCTAAATATTGTACTGTATATTATAATTGACATAACGATAACGAGATACATGTGTAAAAATATCTATTTGCTGTCACTTCACTAATCTAAGTGAAAGCTCGATCACCAACCTGTGAGACGTATCCCCAAATACGACCAATGACAAAACTAACAGTATCTAATACTCTAGGCGGTAAAGCATTCGCTGCGAAAGCAGGCAAAAATTCAAAGAATGGCCAACTAATTAAATTGTTATTTTGGTGTAATTGCCATTTGATAATATTGGCGAGTTTCATTGGACTAGCCAATAGAAGAGATGAAAATGGCAATGGTTGAGCCTGGTCCAAAGTCATTTGCGAGGCGATAAATCCGGGATTGATCACGTTTACTTTGATGTTGTAGGATTGCCCGAGGTAGCGAAGATCGCGTCCGAACGAATTTAGTGCTGCTTTGGTGGCGTTGTAATAGCACATTTGTGGGACAGAAAAATAACCAACAATGGATGATGTGATTGCAATTTGACCTTTACGACGACGTTTCATTCTTTTGAAGACTGTCATAATTGTGGCAACGGTACCAGTCAGGTTAACTTCTATAACTCTTTCCCACAAATCTTCCCATCTTTTCTGCTCATCTATAGTGACACCCGCTTGACCTGTAAAAAGAAAAAAAACAATTCAATTTTTAATTGAAATATCAACGTTACTAAATACGTACCTGCATTCGCGAAAACCAAATCAATGGGGTGTCTTTTATCAAAATCATCCAAAGTTTGAATCAAAAGCTCAATCTTTGAAATATCACACTCTAAAATTTCAACATTTGCGCCGTTTGCTTTGCATTGATCTTTCACTTTTTCTAGACGCTCTATTCCACAAAAAAATGTTTGAATAAGATGAATATTATTTTTTTAGAAATTATTACTATCTACTCGCCTTTGCTTCGAGACAAGAGTCCCAAAGTAACACCACGGCGAGCGTACGTTTTAGCCAATTCCGCACCAATTCCAAAACTGAAGCATAAATAATGACCAGTCAAATGGTCGAATACGAAGGTTCTCAACCAAAATGTAAGGTGACAAACGAAGAAAATAAATTCACCTTGCTCCCGTGATCAAAATAACTCTGGGTTCCTCTGGTGATGGTAAGACTGCATTCAATAACCAAGATGGGAAATCCCAAAAAATGTAAACGAAGGCCACTGGGATTGAGAAAAATGTAGTCGTGATCCAGACAGACCATGCTTGAATGAGTGGTTGCAAAAAAGTTGGAACTGTTAGAGGATATTGCCCGAACATTTTTATTCAAAAACTGTGCTTATTTGTGGAAATATATATAGTGAAGTGACTAGAAGTAAGTTAATCATTATGAACCATTTGGGCGTATTTGATAAAGTAAAAATTGATCAATTTTATATTGACTGGATTTTATAATTAAATCAGTTCTTACATTTTAAAAGTGCCAAAAATACAATTGATTAGCTTTAAGATGATAATATATACTTGAAATTTCAATTTTCATATATAAAGCGTGGGAATTTTTCATATAAAGCGTGAGATTTTACTTTCCAATCAAAACAGTCCTAGCATTTTAAGTTACCACAAGCCTTGTATTATTTTTTCAAAAATAAGTTTATTATTATATAATTTTGGACTGGGGCGTTACTTTTTTGGGGTATACAGTAAAATGCATATAAAATTTTTTGATTTATTATTAAACAGTTCTTCAAAAATATAATGGATTAACTTTAAGATGATATAAATTTAGAAATAATGATTAATAGAAATACAGATAATTTTGGACCGGACGATACTTTTGGGGTATGTCTTATCTGAAAATTCGTTCTGTATACATACTCACCAGGAAGTTTTTTTGCAAATGTTTCTACAAATCCTATCGTTATGTTGTTTTACACTTTAAATTAGTGTAGAACAACATGATATAAATACCGTACGTAGTACATGTCCTTTACTGAAACAACATAACGATAGGGTTTTGTAGAACAACACATTTAATGTGTTATTTTACACTTCCAAAAAACTTCCTGGTGCTTGTGATAATGTATATTCTCAAGAACAAAAAGCTTTTCTGTTAGCATTGTACGATAATTTTCTTTCAATTAAAGCAAGTCAAGGCGTTGAACAAGTTATTTCGTGTCATTATTTCAAAGTTGTCACTAAATGTGGAAGTTTCTATGCCTGCTGGTTTGTATTGAAAGGATGTTACATTCGGTGGTTATCGATCTTTTAAAAAACTTTTATTTGTACCTTTATTTTATCTATAACATAACATTTTTTTACATATAAAATATCAATTTATCTAAACGAGCAAAATTGTTAATTATTTCATTAAAGCAAAGCATTTTACCTTATGAGAATTATCCGGAAATAATTACAAATTTTTTCCATTCTGTGACATGGAATAAATTTCGGGTTATTTTAAAATATTCTGGAACAATTTTAGAAGCAATTTTCATCAACTGCGTTTCGAGACAAACTCCATTGCATTATGAGCCAATTTTAAACGTCATATTTTAGGCAACCAATAAAAATAATTATGGTGAAAACATGGGCTCGCAAAATGAAAAGATTAGCTTTTCAAAGCTTTACGTTAATATTAATCTATTAAAAGTATTTGTTTCAACAAATTCTACCCGAGGACGAAAAGAGTAATAATCAAAACCTATCTTCATATGTGCTTTTTTTCTCGAAAAAATTTGAGATCATAGCTAAATGCCTGATCCGGAAGACTAATTTCTTTAAGCTTTGTCAAAGGAAGAGGAAAGTCTGTTCTTTATTGAAAACGAATTTACATATTAGTATGAGAAATCGTGAAGCTATTCGATTAATTGTTTCGTTTGCTCATATATGACTAGCTATATTCTCCAGTTGGTTTCAATTAAAATTTCTCAAATATGTAACGCTTAACGTTTTTCTTCATTCATACATTTAATAATCGTTTCGGATATAGATAATTCTATAGTTCGATTAATTAATAACGTAATTTACAAAATACGATCAATTGAGAATTGCATCGAGAGCAATTGAACGGCTTGAACAACAACGATAAGAATTTTTCTCAACAACAAACATTTAATGAAAACATATCGATATGTTTATTATGGAGAATTTTGAAGAGAACAAATATGCAATTGCTATCACTATACGTACGTAGTCAACACCTTATGTAGAACCTTAGCCACGGCGAAAAAAAGTGACGGGTCACGTGATGACAACCAAGGACATTGAAATATCCGATTTATATTGAAGGTCAAGTATTAGAGTTCTGGTAAAAGTTATATATACTGACATTTCTCTATAGTGCTCCAAGATATCTCCTGTATTTTCGCTTTTTTGCTTTCTTTATTTTCTTGTGTTGGATATCAAAAATTTGCTACATTTCTATTGGTTGTACATATTTTTGTGTATTATTATTGGTCGGATTGGATCATCATCACAATACATATATAACAATAATGGTAATAAAATCGCCTTTTTTCCAATATCGATATCGATAATACGTATAAACACAATCATACAAATAAAAATGACACCCGACTTGTTATTGACTTCACACTCAAACAGACTCGATAAGTTCTATGAAAATTCCAATTATTATGACATTTCGATTATTGTTGGTGAAAACCAGAAGAATACTTTTTCAGCCCATTCTGCGATATTGGTGGCGCAGTCACAGTATTTCGCGGTAGCACTTTCTGATGCATGGGTGAAGCGAGAACCGAGTAAGATGATTGTTTTTAAGAAACCGAATATCGAACCTCGAATTTTTGAAATATTGCTAAGGTAATTTCATATCAAAAAGAAGCAATACTACTTATTAAAAGTAATACTGAAAAATATACCTGGTTTAATATTTTAATAGATATATTTATAGTGGAAAAATAGATTTGCAGAATCATGGTGTTTCGATACTTTTGGATTTATTAGTCGCAGCCGACGAATTGATGCTTGATGATCTGATTGAATACATCCAAATTTATCTTCTCGAGTACCATTCTAAATCTTTGACAGAGAGATTTGCCTTAATCAATCAAATTGCATTTGAGCATAACTCTTTTACCAAGCTTCAAAAATTTTACACAGACATAACATGTCAAAATCCTGTTGCCATTTTTCAATCAACTGATTTTACCAAGCTACATGAATCAGTTCTAGTTTGTTTACTCAAACGTGACGATCTAAATTTGAATGAAATCGACCTTTGGGAAAAAGTGCTTGAGTGGGGAAGCTCTCAAACTGCAGATGTTAGCGAAATTGATTTGTCAATTCCAACAGAAAAATGGACGCTCAAATGCACGCTCAAAAATTGTTTACCATTGATTCGTTTCTTCCACATCAATTCGGTTGATTTTTATAACAAAGTGATGCCGTATGCTGAAATCTTACCTGGAACACTTTATAAAGATTTATTGCATCATTATTTGGTGCCAGGCAGTGAAGAACAAAAGGCCACCTTACATACAGTTCGCGGAATCAAACCTATCGACTCTTCAATTCTTTCGCAGAATCAGGCCTCTAAAATAATTGATTGGATTAAAGAACAAGATGACAATCAAACAAACAAATCAATTGAATTGAAGCTATTATTACGAGGTAGTCGTGATGGATTCAAGAACACCGACTTTCATCACCTGTGTGATAATAAAGGTCCAACAGTTGTTGCCATTCGCGTAAAAGATGAGGAAAAGATTATTGGTGGTTATAATCCGTTTCAATGGAATTCACTTAACAAAGGCTACAAAGATTTAAATAGCTTTTTATATAAATTTAATTTTGATGATATTCAAGCTACCAATGGAATACTAAGCAAATATAATAAACGAGGACGAAGTGTGGGGTGCTATGCAACGCATGGTCCAATCTTTGGACAGGGTTCTGATTTAGTTATGTATGGTGATGGTTTTATTGGATCTTGTTGTATGAGATACTCATACGACCATGGTCTGTTAATCTCTGATGGAAAAAAGCAGTTTAGCATTGTGGATTATGAAGTATTTCAAGTGGTGCAGAAATAAATTTATTTATTCGTTTTCATTTATATTATTTTGTTCCTATATAAAAATAAAAAATTTAATAAAATGTTATGCATTATAATTAGAGAATTATTGTTTTTTTTTAAATTGCTCATTACATTTGAATTTTATAACTAAAGACTGATTTGGATTCTTTTAATTGTATTATATTACTTGACGTTAGCACTAAGTAATGTAATTAATTACTTAAATTTACGTACATGTCCTATGTACATATCTCTTATTATGCATTTATTTTGAATTCTTTTATCCAATGCATTTAACTTGTCTTATTTTTCAACATATGGGCGAGTAATAGAAATCAACCAAATTATATGTAATATATATATATAACTTGTTTGGTTTCTATTAACTCGCCCCATATGTTGAAAAATAAGACAAGTTAAATGCATTAGGTAAAATGTGCATTTGTTCAGATTCTTTAAATGACTAATCCGTTTATGTCCCAACTAAAACTTTCTGTAATAATAATCGCAACTGATTCAATGATTTTGTAAATGTAGTAACTTATGAAATTATTAATGGATTTATTTGTCTTATGTTTATATTCATCCAACATTTATGTGAATTATGAGAACAATAATGCAAGTCAAGATAAATCTCAGACATACCGATAGATATCTTTTAAGTACGGTAATACTTCTATGTATTTCGACTGCTCATCACCAAAATTACTGTATTGTCAATTAAATCTTCAAGCTTTGGTTTTATGGGTGTTTTAATTATGTCTTCACCTTCAAACTTCTGCATCTTTGATGCATTGCACATATTTTCACCATCGATACAATATACACACCCCTACAATATATTACCGGAATTTCCAAAATGACTTTGTCACTTTGGAACCCGATATCTCGACATCCGGTGATCCCATTCGAACAAAGATATCACCGTTATAGCCGAGACGAATCTAATGGTGATATCTTTGCTCGAATGGGATCACCGGATGTCGAGATATCGGGTTCCAAAGTGACAAAGTCATTTTGGAAATTTCCGGTAATATATTGTAAGGGTGTGGATATCTCACACTAAATAGTGGTATTTAGCTTCCGATAATTGACCATTAAACTACGCCACATCCGATTTTTGAACTGGCCAACACGTTCTTTCAATTAAATTTTTTCCAGTAATCCTTGAAAATTAGCATGTCATGTGTTACTTTAATTTGTTACGGAAATGGTGAGTAAATTATATCTAGGCGGTAACAGTAAATACTGGATAATTTTGATAAAGCGTTTTTCTATTTGACGATGAAACGTTTCATTTTAGTTTTTGCGTCTAAGTTGGGATTTCTTTTGAGTAAAAGGGATTTGAGAACGAATCTTGGTATTCTAAATGTTTATTTTCAATTAATTAAACCTTATTGTCAATTACGTATCATTGAAGTGAAATGAACATAACGAAGCAGCTTAACGTTAAATACGTACCGATACATGTAAAATGAATTTTGTGTTACCTTGTACAAAAATAATATCATTAGCGGTACGTATTAAGTAAAATAATATTTTCAGCTTGTACACGTAACAGAAAAAGATGCCTAATATGTAATAATAGGCAGATTCCGGAATGGCAAATAAATTATCACCGAAATTAATAACGATAATACATGTAATAATTGAATAAATAATGTCATATCGATATGTACACAAATTCCTTGTGGAATCAAATTCGCCATATCGATATGTTGCTATACGAGGTGACTTAAAAATGCACTTCACTCCGCTATAACGGAGCAATGCGTCAGAACAAAAGTTTATCCCGTGATTTTGTTAATAACGGACTGATTTTTCAGCCCCGGCTGATTCGTTATAGCGAGGATGGATCTGCATGAACTAATAATAGAGATTTTCTCTAACGCTATCCTCTATAGTAATAGCGATAAATCGTAATAAAGTACATGGTTGAACCTCTCTAAGTCGAATACATGTACATACGTACGTAGTTAATTATTTACATCGTTATTGTTATTGGTTCAATTACCACAATGTTACACCACTAATTATAGTTATCTCCTATTTACATTCAAAATAGGAAATAGTGAATCATTGTTGCCACTCAATTTATCGTTATAAATAGCAAGAGACAATGATAATAGATCTTTCCATAGAGTTGATGTTTCATGTATACGTAAAACTCGATACGTACATGTATAACAAACTCATCCGTTCCGTTCCATTAGTGGAAATTTTCAAAAAATTCATTATTATCGAGATCTGTTTTAAATATTAATCGGTTATCTTTACCGTTACGTACGTATATATATATATCCGTCCGTTCTACCGAGTTTTATGTGATTTGTATTATAAATTTAGAACTGTCTAGTATTTTAGTATTTTAATATTTTAATATTTTAGTATTTTAGTATTTTAATATTTTGGTATTTTAATATTTTAATATTAGCAATTTAATATTTAACAACAAAGATTACATTACAAGAACAATTTACAACCAGCATTTCTCTTCTAAAATGTCAACATTTTTGTCGTCAGGGCATACCGATGAAGAAATCATTGAACTTACTAATGAAAACATTATTGAATCCGGAGGATCTAGTAGCAATATCATTAGATTTAAGGATACACTAATAAATATCTCGCAATCTAGTTTCGAATATGGCAGTGTCATTAAAAAACCTAGACAATTTCGTGCGCTGGTAATACATTTTTTTCAAATCATATATCGAAATCAATGCTTTTATCAAGAAACCTATAATTTACCATCCATTTCTTTATTAAAAGTCTAGATTAACATTAACACTAACAGTTCGAAACTGGAAAACTAATTTCTGTTGTATATTCCTAACACCACTACTAATGATGATAATCATGCAGTTTATAGTTATCGCGGTCTATCCTAGTGTACATAAAGGCGACGAAGACAAGCCACAAGTAATCTATTGCTCAAATAACAGCAAATATATGAATTATGGAAATGTTCCAAACTTAAAACAAAAATATGACGAATATGGCGTATTTACTAATCGGACTAGATCGTCTCCGGCACTCGTGGAGGATGTTATTCGGCCATTGATTTTGATGCGTGACAATTATTTTACGGAAGATGCTAATAATACTGGGTATAGAAGTTGTTCGAATTTATTTACAGGAAATCAGTCAAGTTATACGAAAAATCCGAGTCCATATTTCGAGTAAATATGTATTTTTTGTTTGTTTGCTTGTTTGTTGGATGATTCTTCAATTAATATTAAATTGGTTTAAAGCTCCACTGATTATTATGACCAAGAAACAAAAGATACAACTTATTTACCGAAACCTGACAACGGCTGGTGGGAAAATATAGAGAAATTTAATAATTCACATCACTTATTGTATAATCATGTGCCACAGACATTTCCCTTTGGATATATAGTAGCAGAAAATGAAATAGATGAATTATCTGAGCGTGCTAATGATCCCACAACAAGTATGGCATACATCTTGGAACAATTAACCACTTGCATAAAAAACAGTGTAAACAGTAATTCACGCACAGACATCGAGAATAATTTAAATGAATGCTTAAAGAACAGCGCAGGACGAAAAGACCAAGGTGTGTTTATATTAATTATAGTATAACTTAATTATTGTTGATTACTAAAACATCAATTGGTTCTTTTTATTTTCATTAAAGGTCCTTTTTTAAATAATATCCCACACAAATATTTGAATCTTCCGTTCAGTCTTTTAAGAATTTCACCCAAATTTCAAGAAATTGATCACACGAAATTTTCTAATGTGAGCATTGATACTGGAGCGTTCAGTGGATCTAACAAGTCATCTGTCAATCAAAATTTATTTAAAGATTTTAACGAGTAAGCGAGATTATGTATTCTAAGAAACATTATATTTCGGCTAAATGTCAATTAACTTTTATTTCCCTCAGTACCTTTATATCTTTCAAAAAATTTGTTCTCGCGCCAAATTCAAGCAACGTCAGGTTTATAAATCCACTACCTCATGGTGCAATTTTATTCGATAAACTTGATAGCCAGAATGGAATTGTTTCGTATACACTTCAATATGGGAGTATTCCAAAAATATGGAGTATAGTCTTGAGAAATGTTAATAAATTTATCTACAATAAAAACGGGGTTTATGAAGTGCTTATTCGCGATAATAATTTTGGCACATTGTTGAATCTACTTTTGGATTATCCTAGGTATGAAGTCATCATTATCGTTATAATTCTGTATTTATTTACATTTTGACAGCAGTTTAATTTGCGATATTTCTTTAAAATGTTAATTAGTGCCGGATTTAGACGTTTAATCGCTTCAAGTCAAATAACGAATGCATTATGTATGTTGTGTCTTATATTTATTTTATTTTATTTTATTTAATGTCTAACTGGCTTGATTTTATTTAGCGAAAGAATATGTTGAGATTGTAGCTAAACTACAGGCTATGCCTCGAAAATTCGATATAAAAGAATTAGATCCAGACCTGACTGCATTAATTGGTTGGGCATTTTACCCATATGGTAGGGTGTTTTTTATTCGTGGTATTATTTAGAAATTATTCTAACCAAACTCGGCTTTAAACACTCAAAAAAAAAGCGATATCTTTCTTAATGCCAATATTTGTGATGGTACTCGTTCGTGAGAAAGAAGAACGCGTATTTATAATTATGAAGATGGTAAAATTTTAAAATTACTTTTTCTCGCTTTCGAAGATAAAACTATTTTGTAATCCATAATTTGTTTTCTTTATGGATTATAAGTCTGGACTTAGCACATTTAAACACACGTTAGGCCATTATCTAGAATTTGCTATTATGCAAACAATCTCTTGTCTAGTGTTCTATCTGACTGGCTTCGTATTAGAGGTAATTTTTATCAGCAAACTTGACTTGTACGAATATTTTGCCCAAAACAATTACTGACAATTTTTTACAGTTCACGATCTTTACTCGTACAGATCCCTGTATTATATTGCTCTATTTCCTTATCTGGATAAATATTCAAGTGGCAATGGGATTCTTGTTTAGTGTCTTTTTTTCAAAAACTCGACGCGCTTTAGGTAATAACCCTATCTTTTCGTGCTCTCGTAAGATCTTATTTTAATTACGTAATTGATTTGCTATTTCATTAGTTACGGTATACGTGTTTGTCGTGTTATCTGCTATCATCAGTGGAACAACCGGTAATTTTCGATTTCCATCATTCGCACGAAATAACATTGTTCCTGAATAGATTTTTTTTTTTCGTAGTCTTTATATTTGGCAATTATCGTCCACCACGCCTTTGGTACATTAATCCATCTTTCGCACTCTACGAAGGTCTTCGTTATATTACAAGACGTGCGAGTTTAGACGATGGTTTTCGAGTGAGTAAGCCTAAAATTATTGACTCGATTTTTTAAAAAAGTATGCAATAATTTCTTATTTAATAAAAATCCATTTAGCCATATGACATCGGTCATCTTGACACATCCGATGAGCTTTTAGTTATTATGAACTTTCTCGTTTTCGAATGGATATTCATGATGTTGTTGACCTTTTACTTCCAAGCTATTCTGCCAACCAAATACGGGGTCCCTAAGAGCTACTTGTTTTTCATCACGGAACCATACAATTGGATAAAAAACTACTTTTCTGATGAGAAAATCTCAAAATCAAATGACTCGAAACTTTATCAAGTGAGAAATCTGTTTTTAAAGTAAAAAAGAATTGTGAATGATTCTAACTTATAATTGTCCAACTTTTTTGGAAGACATCGGCAATTCAAGGGCTCGGAGAATCGGAGCACGAAAATGTATTTGTAATGATCTGCATGCTATCCTTATCATCTTCACACTCATTTCTTGAATTTCGATAATAAATAGTTTAACGATTCGGAAAGAGAGCGACAACGAATCCTTAATGGTGAGGTTAATCCATTAAATTGTAATTTCGTGGTTAAAGAACTCGTGAAAGTTTATCGTAATAAGAAATTGGCTGTTGATAGGTTATCTTTTTCCGCAGAGGTAAATAATGCAAAAGAAATTTCCTCATCAATAGTTTGAATACATGAAATTTTTAACTTGAGATGTTTTTAGGAAAATCTGATTTTTGGATTGCTTGGACCTAATGGTGCTGGAAAATCTTCGGCTATCCATGTTATGACTGGATTGTATCCTCCAACTGCTGGTAAGATTTTATTTTTATTATGGCTTCTTATAACCTCAGTAGCATCAGTATAAAGAAATTTAACTTCATAGGTACGGCGTATATAGCAGGATACGATATTCGTACTGATATGGCCAAAGTCTACACTGAGATTGGTAACAAACGCACTTTACGAAGACTTTGATATTTTGCAGCGATTTTCTTGAAACTAAATTTTTATTGTTTATTAGGTGTTTGCCCACAACATGATCTCTTATGGTCCGACTTGGTAATCTAAAAAGATCTATTGTTTAACTTTATGTTAATATTAATTTACTGCTTTTTCATAGACAATAGAAGAACATTTATTGTTCTATGCACGACTTCGAGGCGTTGATCCAAAAAAGGAGCGACAAGCTGTAGAACACGCTTTAGAACAGGTGGAGTTGACAGAATTGAAGACACGTCTCACAAAGGTATTTTTATTATGCTTTTCAGATAGGATTTCTTTTCGATATTGATGATAATTATTTTATCTCCGCACAGAATCTAAGCGGTGGCGAAAAACGTCGTCTCTCTATTGCAATCGCATTGACCGGAGATAGTAAAGTGTTGTTTCTTGACGAACCAACCGTAAGTTTTACAATGCATGATGATTTATCATTCAAAAAACCTGTTCCTCAATTTAATCATCAATAGACTGGTCTCGATCCGGATGTTCGACGTACTATTTGGAGAATTGTGTCGAAAGCTAAAAAAAATAAATCAATCATCTTAACCACACATTCGGTTTGTATGAGTGATTCTTTTTAGTTTTTTTTTTGGCAAAAGTTGTAAATATTAAAGCTTTGTGTTAATTTAGATGGAAGAAGCAGATGCTTTATGTGATAGAATAGGAATAGTTTCAGCTGGCCAATTGCGTTGTCTTGGAGTAAGTTGCGCGATCATTCTTTTCTCAATTTAAATAATACAGACGTAAACTAAATCGATATCAATTAGTCCCCATTATATCTAAAAACAACATATGGTTCCGGATTTAAACTGCATATAAACTCTTCACGACTAAATTCGGCATTTTATCAGATAGAAAAATATATCACACCACCATTCACAATAATTAACAAATTTGCTACGTCGGCAACGTATCAATTTAACGCTGCGCGTGGAGTCATTTCGACACTGTTCAAGGTTTTGGAGGCGAGAAAAATAGAGTGGGGCATTGTGGATTATTCTATTAATCAGAGTACTTTGGAGGATGTATTTTTGAGGTATTTTGTTTTTGTGTGTTATTCATATTTATTTTTGTTTTATTGAAATATCTTTTGGATTTTAAAGTGTAGTGAAGGAAACTGACGATATTTAAATTCCTCTTTCTCGGGAGTTATGTAAATATTTGAATACTACATTATTTCGCTGTAAATGCAACACAACCAGACGAACATTTCCGAAATCAAAATTTTTGCCCACAAATAGAAACTTACTTCCATTGTTCCATAACTAATAAATTGGCTTTGACAAACCAAACTTATAATAAATTCAATAAGAGCTTGAGATTGGAAGCTATTTTCCATAAAAATACTAGTAATTCAACGAGTTCCTGTCAAGTACATGTATGTACGTAGTAAGAATTGATCAATATGATTTTTAATTGGCAAAACTGAATACGTAATTTAAAATCTGTCAAAATCTGGATCTCACAAATGCCAAAACATAACGATAACTTTTAGAATTTATTTGCACACATTAGAAACAATGTCAGTCAAATAACATTTCCATTCATTACTCCGTTACAAAACTCTCGGTTATACCAAATAATTCCTCACGAGATTGTATTGTCAACCACTTTTTTTCCTGAATTTAATTACCATTCTTTGTGTTTTTCAGTAAATAAGTATTAAACTTGACTTTTCAATAAATTAGTGTTTCAGGCCAAAATCCGAAACATTGTCTGAAACCCTAATTTGGTATCAAACGAATATCGATATTGTGGCAGATTAAATAAATTCTATATAGTAGGGTTATGCAGTGGCTCACTTTTGAAAACGTACACAGAAAAAAAAATGGCGAAATTCGAATATCTCGCCATTGAAGAATCATCCACGACCAAAAGCAATTTAATTACATTTATTAAAATGCCAAGTATCATTTACAATTGAGTTTATTGTTCGATATGATTATAATAAAAAAAAATAAAAATTTTTAATTATTTTCGCGTACGATATGACCGAATCCATTAACGAACATAAGACCTTACAAGCTCAGTATAAATAGCTTTTTTTTGTTTTAATCATAATTAACACACTTCCCCCATTCCAATAACTATATTAACCACTTTTTTTTTTTAATTAAATGCCTCAAATTTCACTTACAAAATGCTTCCGCATATACACACTCCGCCAAGAAGGATACACAGTGCGAGAAATCGCAGTATCAGAACAAGTAAGCTTAGATTCAGTTTCACGTATATTCAAGAAGAAAGAAGAAACTGAGAACTTCAAAGATAAGCCAAAACCCAGCTGTCTGCACACTCTTTCTGATCACTACGAATGAAATACTGTTTGATTGATAACATCTGGAGTGGTATAATTATAGTCTATTATATAGACTATAATTATACCACTTAGTTCGGACTATAACCATCCCAGGTATGTGTCGTGATGACAGAAACGTGACACTGTTATCAGTGTTGTGATTACAGAAACGTGACACCGTCATCAGTGTCGTGATGACAGAAACGTGACACTGTCGTCTAAGGATGCTTGCCTAAATCCTTTCAGAAAAATATCGTCATAATTTCGACAGGTTACACACTAATTGTTAATTAGAATTTCGACATAATTTCGGTTACGACGGGTTTCAAAATTCGTCAGAATTTCGACGGGTTATTTACTAATAGTTTATTATAATTTTGACAGAATTTAGACAGTTACTAAGGGATTTCGGCAAGCAACCTTACTGTCGTCAGTGTCGTGATATATATTTTATGACACATTTTTGATAATAGAAATGCGACACCATCATCAGTGTCATGATATATATTTTATGACACATTTTTGACGACAGGAATATGATACCATCGTCAGTGTTGTAATATATATTTTATGACACATAAATAAGTATACAGCTTATATATCCTTTTAGAAAGTCAAATTCGATATCAATAATATTTCAATCACTTATATAAAATTTCGATATCAGTTTAATGTTTTTGATATATTTTCATTGCAATATAATATCCAATTTAGGTTATGACACACTAGCCTAGTCCTTCTGTGTTTTCTATTACGTACATCATTTGATATCGTATATCAGTTTAGCGATCCTGATCATTTTCCATTGCAATAAAATAACTGAGGTAGATTATGCTACGGGTTGGCTTTATTACGAGTTCGACAACCTGATTGCAATTTGTATATCGTTTGTGGAGGCAGATATATCACACAAATGCTATCGAGTGCTATCACTTATATTATCAAGTTATGCTATTGAGACATGTTATCGGGTATATGTTATCAAATATGTATACGAAATATATCACGCAAATACTATCGGGTATGCTATATACACGCTATCTGGTTATGCTATGTCTCGAAGAGACACCCCTAAAGGGCCTGATTAATGCTATCGAATATGTATACTAGATGCAATGCATCCTACTCCGTGGACTATATCACATAAATGCTATTCCACAATGCTATCATGTATATGTTATCAGGTTATGTGCTTTCTGATTTTGCTATTGAAAATGTTATCAAAATGTAATCACTCATGTTCGCTATCTTAGAATGCGGTTAAAATAAATCTGCTCGCGTCCTAAT